GCTATTACTTGTAAGATTACAAAGTCAAAACCTTCCTCTTGCTAAAAGATCTTTGAGCAGCTGAACCCAATATTACAGTAAACAGGATAAACGAACCTTGATTCTTTCATGGGTCCCTGCACACCAATATGTTGTAAGTACTATCTATATTTAAGTGCAAAATCAAAATACAGGGCCTTAAAAAAAMCTGTAAATTTTATAAGGCAATTTTACAGAGATTTGATACTCTTTTTAATAAAAAAAATCTATTATTTAAAAGTGCTCCAGATTCCATTTTAGCTCACAGAAAACATCAATGTTGTGTCTACCCAGGGCAGAAAAGCACATCCAYGCAGTATATGCAATTACAGTACTCATAATATTATGGCAGTAATTACAAAACACGGTACTTGACAGCACTTGTGGAAAGTTGGCAGTTTATAGTGTTGATCCTGGAAACGCACTGAAAACACAGGGAAAGCCCCCACGCTTCCAGAGCCCTGCAAACTGTCAGGATTTACACAAGCAACTAACACCAGGAGGAAGGTGTCATTAAAACACAAACCAGTAGAAGTCCATTGACATCTAGTCTGACCCMGTCTGACCCAGTGATCATCTTAAAATACAACAAAGTCCAAAAGATTTGTGGATCAGTTTTCTAGGTATTATCTCCATCTGAAAATATAGTCCAGTATGATTTTCTAAGCTCTACTGTAACACTCCTAAATGAAAGAAATACTTGGTGCTGGAACATCAAAATGGGGATAAATCCACCAGGATGCCTGCTGCCTCATCCTCCCTGAAGTCAYAGAGAGAACCAGAAATCTAGCAAGACTTCTGCTTGCTTAAAGCCACCCTCTAAAAACGCTGACTTTTAGTTCCTATAGGCCTGTACCCAGTTCAACTTTCAACAGGTTGCCAAGGAACACAGAAAAAGCAGGATCAGGTTAATTTGCAGCAAAGGGGAACATAATTTGCTACGTTACAGGAATATTCACAAATTTGAATGTATGTCACCAAAAAATAACTTGATCATTATGGATGTTTTAAAGATCTGTAGGCCCTTAGAATTACACAATTGTGTATGTAATTTATGTGGAAGGGCTTTAGGTTCACTGAGTTTCAAACATGTACAAAAGTACTAAGGTAACAAGTACTYAGGTATGTTATAGGTAGCATGGTAATGTATATGCTGCATCTCCTATGGCTTGGACAGAATTTAATACGACCACTAGATGGAAACCTGAATTACCTTTCATAATGACAATTCTGCAAGTGTCCCAATCACTGGGCATGCTTCTGATTATTTATCTTTAACTAAGAAAATAGAAATATGTTGGCTGTTACAGACTTGTATTGTTAGGAAAGTATCAATTAGCAGGCACACACAGAACAACCTGTAATATCTTAGAAATTTAAAGCTTTAAGGTAACAGGCCCTGCTGATTTCCGAAGAGCTAGTGAATACAAGAAATAGTGTTCCACATATTAGAGATTTTCCCCATTTCTACAACAATTTAAAACTTCTACATCTGTATTACACCTAATAAAAAAATGCTGCACTCCTGCAATAAATTTCAACTCCTGCAATAAATTACTATTAACTTCAAATACCAATGAGTTGTTATATATCTTATAAATATACGCAGCGATCAAATCATGTGAACGTCGGGGCTGGTTTGGGCTCTGCACACCTGCGAGTCCCAGGGCATTTCCCTGCAGTTTGTTCCAGCCAGGACGCCCGGCCCGCAGCAGCAGCTGCCGTGACCGAGCAACGTGACCAGCTCCTCGAATTCTTTCCCGTTGGATCAAAACGGTTGGAAATAAAAACTCCTGCTCGCAGACAGGCGCAGCGATCAGCAAGGCCATCCGACTAGCGGCACGCACACATATAAACRTTATATACAGATAACCGATACAGCAACATTATAGAAGTATCAAGAACATTAATGACTCTTATATAACTTTGAATTTGGAAAATAAAGAGCTGCATCAAGCAGGAAGGCTCCCGTTTGCCTTTATGTCTTCCTCTCTGTTAACTCCAGACTGCCCCGCAGAGGCGGCAGTCGGACAACTCCCTGCCCGGGTCAGGCCCCCATCCACCAGCCACTGCTACAAGGCACTCGGAAACGGGAGATATTAYTTCCCATCTTTTCAGAAGTATCAAAGAAAATCAAGGAAATTGTCTCCAATTTATCTACAAGCTAATACCCAGTGAACACTCTAAGTGAGGGCTAATATATAAGTCTCTATAGGAATTCAGTTTTAGCATGAAGGCTTTTCATTCACTAAAAGCAAATTCCAGAGTACCCAGTAACGTTACAGCGAAGCACTCCTCCTGAATCCTATTTCACAGTTTTTATTAAAGTCATAAAATAGCAAAACTCTTAAAAAATTTWATTTCATTTTCAAAATGTATTTCATCAGCAGGCAAAGAAAAAGGTCATTTTTAGGATGCGCTTCACAGAAATTCAGAGCAAAAAGCAGGAAGTTGGCAGCAGTTTTAGATTTACTGCCCCTATAGACTTGCTGGAAGACAGTCCACAAGGCCACCCAAGTGTCCCCTTCCTGGGCCAGTTTCATTCCAGCCCTGGCACATATATGAGCATCCCACACAATCAACTAGACACTGCAGCAATGCAGGCAATTTAAAGCAAATTGATTAGTGACATTTATTTTCATGAGATCTGATGTGATACCAATTAGGAAAAATAGTTATTTTTGAGCTGCTATGGTTAAATGGTTGGATCCGTAGGGCAGATATACAGGTAAGTTCCACTTGATTTTTGCCAAAATACASGAATACGTTGGAAAATACAGGCAAAACTACGTAGCTGAATATTCTACATTATATCATGTGTAACCCGGAGCAGGATAAGCACAGGTAACGTTAGGATACTATTGATTAAGTAAAGCATTCTCATCAGTTACCATATGATTTAAGAGATGGTTGGACTAATTTACTTATTATATCTGTCAACATTAATTGAATAGCACCCCAAGGTAATAATCACTATCAATCTAATTATATCAGCCACCTCTTGTTAAYGAGTACCAATTATTTTAACTAAAATATTAAATATTTAGAAAAGAAAGGAACATATTAATAATTGATATATCTAATTTGAAACTACCTGAATAACTATAATTCCTGAACAAAGCTGGCTTTGCCTCTCCTATAAATATTTCCTAGGGGGGTTCAATATGCAAATCATTACTCTAGCATCAATGCTAGAAAGAAAGGCAAGTTTTACACCATTCTACTTTTGTATAAATTTAAAATGTACTTGCAGACTGTACCTATCAGGCTCRTTCACTTAAGTGAGAGTACTTAAGCACTCTTTGAGGCAGGAATAGCCACAGGATACCTTCCTTATTTTGTAAATTCAAACACAGCCGTTTAGATCTCGCATAACAAGACATGAGCCAGCTACATTTTACACAATGTCTCTCACTCTATACAGCCAGCCAGGGGATCCTTTCTCATCTCCTTCAGGTAAAAGCAGAAAGAAGGGCAGTATGGAAGCTCTTCTAGAATCATCCATATATACTAAAAGAAAACTACCGGGGAGATTTTCACCCTTTTTACACATCTCTACAAGTCTCCCTTTAGCATTCCACCTGTATTTTTGTGCTCTACAAGTGTACTCAAACCGACTGCATTGCTATGTGAGGGCTAGATGGAAGATCCAGGCTCTAGACTGAGATTTGGCTTCATCCCAACAGCAACGTGACACAAATGAATCTGAAACAACTGCAGCAATATTAGCAGTTAAAGTTGCCTGAAAGTCCTTGCAGAAGAGTCTTCTAGTAGTTACTTATCCTTCTAATAGTTATTTATCAGCACAGCCCACAGACCAAGTCTACTCAGGCATCTTCCTCAAGCAGAAGGTCTAACGACCATAAAAAAAGATCAGAAAAGGTCAAATAGTTCAAAAAAAAAAAAAAAAGCAAGAATATATGCAAGGGCATATTAAGATTACACTTTACATGAGTATAACATCACAAATATTGTTATTCAGTATTCTAACCTATTGTGTATTCTAACCAATTTTCAAGACAAACGGGAATACAAACTCCACAGAAAGGTAAAATGATTGAGATAAAAAAAAAAAAATCTACCAAATCAGTTCAGTAAGCATAAAAATTAGTGAAGCTCAGTTATCTACAGATACATCTCTTGCTGTTATTTTCAAGCTCCAATTGCAATTTCTTCCTCTGCTGAAATATCTGTAACTTTTCCTCCCCATGTGGATTTTGGGGGTTACTAACAGCCACTTGCTACAGCCGAGGCATGTGGAGAAAGAACCCAGAGCACCTCCCTCCTTCTCACAAAACTTGCTGCAACCTGATTATTTTCGAAATATTCACTTTTTTTTTATATATATATACAGATATTTAAATTCAGATACAAGGTTCTCAGGGAGATAAGGAGAAGCAGCACTCATGTAAGGCTTGTTTTTCTAGAAAACACACTAAAAGCAATAAAAATATCACTCCAAAATGAGAAGCAAGCTTGTGTGGAAGCTATTTGTGTAACTATTTAAGCATAATTATATAATTATCTTATATATAGTTATGTAAATATGTAATATGCATATACGTGCATAAGCTATTTTATATATAAAGTTGAACACAGTTAGRACAAGAAAGGTTGAGCCATAAGAGATGACCACAGAGGGGCTGAGGTTGGAAGGGACCCCTGGAKATGATCTAGTCCAACCCCCTGCTYCAGCAGGGACACCTACGGTCACTTAAGAGCAGCAGGATTACAAATCAGGAATTTTGCCTCCAAAAAAATGAGAGACGTGCTGGAAAACGCTGAATCTAAAACCTGYCTGGCAAACGCTTAACCGCAAGCGCCATCAACGGCCGCTTAGCGGTAACGAACTCGGTGGAGCCGGGAGCGGCCTGGGAGAGGCCGGGGACGGAAGGACACGGAGCCAAGCGGGTCCAAGGGGGCAGGAACGGGACGGAGGGAAGGGAAGGGCGGGCGGGGCGGGGAGGCCCCGGGCCACTTGCCTCCCATTCCCGCAGGAAGCGCTGCGCCTCGGCGGGCCCGGCCGCCCGGTGCCTCCTGAACTCCTCCTGCACGTAGCGGTCGCCGAGCGCGCGCAGCGCGGGCGGCAGCGCCCGGTGCAGCCGCAGCACCCGCCGGTAGAGGCTGCGCGCGGCAACGGCGGCGGCAGCAGCGCGCGGCCCGCCCGCACACGACATGGCCGCCGCGCGGGGCGGGGCCTGGCGGCGGGGGCGGGGCCAAGGCCTCGTGGGCGGGGCCTGGGAGGGACTGAGGCGTCAGGGGCGAGGCGATGCGGAGGTGGGCGTGGCCAAGTCTCTTGGGCGTGTCCAAGGCGGCGGGGCGGGGCCGAGCGCGGGGCTCTCACTTGGGCTTCAGTAATTTGATTTATTTGGGKTTTTTTTTTCCCGCTTCCAGCTTCTTGTTTCGGCTCCCGACTCGGTGCCGCCGGGCAGCGGCAGTAACTCCGATCCTGCCCAGTCCCAGGGTCCCACTAAGCACCTTGYGGCCAAATTCCTGAGCCTTCCAAGAAAAATGGGAACATTTCTATGCGTCCAGTGCAAGCATTAAGCTTTCCCCAGGATATGTGAAGTGCAATAAAAATATACCATCCCGTCAAAATCCTAGGTAATCATATACAAGCAGAACATGGTAAAGCGCACGAACTACAACGTAATTTCCTCGCTATCGTTGTTTGGTGCTTACTTTTTCTCCCAAGAGCTCCAGAGATGGATAGTGGCCTGTCGGCTGAGCCCTCTCCCAGCCTCGTGCCGGCACATAACACACTCCTCAGGCGAGACATAATCCTCACATTGCCACTTTTTGCTATATTTTCAATTTCTTATTTCGGTAAGACTTTTTAGCACGTCCTGCATCTTGCCCATACCTGCATCCATTCGTACATACAAATTTTAGAAAGATGGAAGTTAGAGAACTAATTGGCTTGACGCTGTAGCGGTGCAGGTTGCCCTGCATTCCTCYGCAGACTTTATTTCAGTGGGGTTTGGGGAAAGGGCCACCGGGGCTGCGCTCTCCATGCCGGGCTCTATCCCGACAACACTGGCTCCGTCACCAGGCCGGATCAGGTGTTTCAGGCAACACCTGAAGCTCCTGGAGGAGCATTTCCACTTTCTTTCTTGTTTTCTTTTTTTTCACCTGTAACAGGTTGACTAGAGAAGATGAAACTGAAGTATTTATAGAGCTGTTATAATTGTTGTAATTTAAGGAGTTATCAAGAGCATCCTGAGAGGAGAACTTCTTGCGCATTAAAATAAATTATTAAAGACAGAATTCAATGAAATGATGCTGCTTTCAAAAACCTTTGGTAGTCTTGACAAAATATATATTGCAACCAAATAGTCTTATGCTTAAATAAAAGGATAATYTGCAAAATTCTTTTCTATACTGTAGGTTAAATGTTAAAGCACGGAACATTCAGGYGTCCAAGTAATAATTTCCTGATTGAGTAAAGCAAAAAGAAAGATCATATATTCCTTCATTATGTTTCCTATCTTTTCACTGTGCTGATCACAACAAAATTCCGTCTCTCACTTCAAAGCTAYGAAGTTCTTAGTAAACTCCCTAAATATTCAAATAGATTCAAGACAGCTCCTTTTTACATACTACTGCAGACCAAGACAGACTTCAGCGATTCAGAAGCCAAGCCAAAGAGCTGTTATGACGGCACAAATTGCCTGCTAAATATTCTGCGGCATCTTCCAGCATACCTCATAAAGTAAGAAGATGAGGAATTCTCGCTTCTTTGTAGGGAATGAATAGTTTTATAATGATTTGGAGAAAGTTCATGAAAATTGGAGCTCCATAAAATGATCCTGTCTCCCAACAAAATCAAACAGGGGAGCAATATCAGTCTTAGCACRGGACACTGCTTCAAGAGGAGTGAGGGCAACTCACCCCAAAACTCCCCTAAAATTCTTTGTACCAGCGAATACATGTGGATGCATTATAAAACGGCCTGGTTCTTTAGACAGGATTTGGGGAAATACTGAATGATTATTGACTTGTTTATTGAAGATATCAGCTGTCTKTGTGTCCGAATCGGGCAAAATCCAGGTCCTTCATTTGGGCTGCAYGTGGTGTGTCCAGCAGACTCATCAGCAGGATACCAGCACGAGAGCAAGGCAGAGGCAGTTTTCATTCAAAACTGCACTTAAACAAGGAAAAAAAAAACATAGTGAATGCTATATGACATAACTCTTTGGGATGGCTTAGTAGAATGTGTGTTTATGAAATGAGTAAACTACACAAAGATTTTGGAAGGGAGATGTAGCCAGCTATTTCTGGACTTCAGTCAATTGCATGATTGGCTTGTTCATAACTTCTGGGAGTTGAAAGGGAAATTTCTCTTATTTCAGATTATGCTAGAGCTGCTCATTGCAAGATCTCTTGTTCCTTCATCTGAAGCATATGATCTGTATCATGCAAAACACATTTTTTGACAGCTGAAGGAAGCAATTCCCGAGGAAACTCTGCTTGCCTCATGTGGACTTGAAAGATGCCAAGCGTAGCAGGAATCTTCAGAGAATTGAGCTGCCAAACTCCATCAAGCTGCAGCTTGAACATGTGTGAATGGGGCTTTTCACTGCACCAAATGTCAGCAGCTCCACACCAGAGCAGCACAAGGCTTGTACCTGGACCCTCCTGCTCATCATCTCCCCATCTCCCCCTCAGTGCTTTCCTCTCCCCACCCCAGTGCCAAGTTTCATGACCCTATCCACAGAGGACACACAGAGACACCGGGATTTCTCAGGTGGATGAAAATGGGAAAGAATGGAGGATTGCAGAGAATCTTTAACTGTTCTTTCTAACCTAATAATTTTCAGGAACATTTAATATTTACCTGAAATTTTCTAAAAAAAAAATAGTAAAAAAATTCAACTGAATGAAAATTTTTAGGCAAAAATGAAAATTTTTAGGCAAACTGATTAAAGGGTCTCAGAAGTAGCAGTGATGACAAGTAAGACCTTTTACAGAGAAAAGTCCTGCAACTTCATTCATAGTCAGTGTTGCTAATTCAGACTACGACAAGGAAGTCATCTTTGTGTTTAAACTATTATTGTTATCAATATTCAAACAAAACACGGCATTAAAAATTGCCTGGATAATAAAATGATATTTCTATTTTGGAAAACTCAAACAGAAATTTAAGATGTCATTGGTTAGAATCACTACTATATATCTTTTCATTTTATCAAAGATCTTTTGGGGAAATATACTCTTAATCCACTTGGTTACATTACCACRTGTGCTGTTCTGTTTAGTGCATTAAAATTCTATAAGAGATGCAGTATTTCCTTGCAAATTCACTTAACAGAGTACAAAAAGCATGTTTTATTATTTYAAATATAATATAAAACTGTGCAGAGCTTTGTTTTCCTGGTATACTTAGTAAGTCATTGTAAAACTTAAAGCCATGCAAAGATGCTTCCACAAATACATTAAAATTCCTTCCAGAAGAACACAAAGAGCCCAGAAAATGTTATGTCAGTGATTGTAAAGGAGAGGGGAAGGGAAGAGGGGAGAAAATGGCCCAACTAAATAAACTAATATTTTGCAAAGCGGCAAAGAAGACCATATGTGTGCAAATGCCAAACAACAGCTTAACCCTTTAGAGGCAGGTAGGTGCCCAAGTGAGCGTCTCCTGTACCACCTCCCCATGGATTCAGAGCTCCAGATAATACTTGGACAGGCCCCAAGCCTAGACCTAGGGAACAAAACAAGCTAGTCTACATCRCTTTTAAGCTTTTAGCCCAGCTTCACATTAACCCAAAGGGAATTTAAAACATAACATAAACATGTGTTTAAATGAAGTTAGAAGAAAGCTTGTTGTCCTGTCTCCTGTTTTAATTAAATATGTTTTATATGAAAAGCATAGCTTACAAATGCAAGCTATGTGGTTTCCCTGGCAGCGCTGCAACTCTAAGTAAATACACTATAGTATTATTTTGTTTGCTTTCTTCCCTAATTAAGTTTTAAAAGTTTCCTCAGCGCTCTGTGTGGCGGCTTCAGTTTTGGCAGCAGCAGCACTGTGGCAAAGGGGGCTGTGGAGAAGACTCTTGCAGTTCTTCTCTTCTCTCTGACCTGGTGAGCCCATCGCAGAGCAAATGAAAACCCTTATCTTTGAAGCAGAGGAAAAACAGATAGAGATGCGGGGTCGTGTTCTGGGGATGGAGCATGAGCCTRCACAAGTCCCAGCTCTGCCACAGARAGACAACTAAAGCGAAGGACCACCTGAGGGAGGGAGGTGTGTTTGCAAGAGGCTGCAGCAGGCTGCACAACAGGGCTCTGCTGCAAAGCTGAATCCAAACRTGACGGGGTTTGTACTGGGAGGGTGTTTGGACTGATCAGTTTGCTTCAGCACAAACCCACAGAGCTCCGGCGTGAACCTCCTCAGAGGCTRAGGACTTTCAAATTGGAGGTTTTGTTGTAAAATTCTTTGCGTTTAAAGAATCCAGATCCTTGTCTTGTCTCCTGACTGAAACGAAATGCACCCAAACCAATGGCATTCATCATTTGAGCATAAACAGGGTTCCATCAGCAAAACCTATTTCATGTCACGGGGGACTCTTCCCCACACTTTGAGAACCCTCTGAATTCATCCAGTTTGCCCYGAACAATTTAATGTATGGGCCAACCACTGGAATACTTTACTAGCCTCGCATTAAAATATTTAGGTTCCCCTTTGATGTGAGTTGTTGGATATGCATCTCTTGTCCCTATCCAGGTTCTGATGTTGTAATGCAAGGTTTTAAATCTGGCAGGAAACAGTGTGCACGTCTGCCTGTTTGTGGTGTTCCCTGTCCCCAAAGTCAGCAGCACACCACAGGCTGCGGGACATCTGAATGATTATTCACCCTGGTTTTATTATTCACTGAATTTGGTGATGTTTGAGTTTAAATTTGTTGGTAGTCAGGGTTTTTCTTCGTGGCTTCTTTATATAACATCATGTATGAATGGTTGAGATTCAAGATAGAGCTGTAGGATACCACATGAAAAAGCATAGCTGCACCATAAATACTCAAGGTTCCTTGAACCTGTTTCATATAACAGTGCTATCAGTGTACATCAGTTCCTCCCCCTTCCCGAATCACCTGCAGGCAGGATGATCAAAAAAGGAGTCCTTAGTATAGAAATGATCACATCTGTGAAATATGGATTTTAATAATGAGCTTATTGCTAT